ATAATTTAGTTTCCAAGTGTAATCTTTAATATCAAGTATATAAGTTTTTGCAGTAGATGATTGTGGTCCTGAAATGTCATTTGTAATATTCCCTATATATGCACGTATTTTATATTTTTTGATTAATTAATTGTCAACTATTTTAGATAAAAAAATTTTTTTAAAATAATAAAAGTCTACCAAAACTTATTATCATTTGATCTTCAATCAAATTGGCTGAATGGAATGCTACAGGCGTGGCACGACTAACATGTGAAAATTTGGGTGCAGACCATTGAAAAGGATTTGTAGTTGTATTCAGTACCAGAAGTTCAGGAAATGATGTAATTGCTAAAGGATATCTAGTACCACCATAAACAATTATTTTTCCATCCTTTGCTATATAATGTATATATATATATATATATATATATATATAATTTTAGTATATTTTTCTTAAAAAAAAAAATTCCAAAAAAATTTAAATTGAAAATGATTACTAAGTACAGCTGAATGACCAGCTCGAGGTTGGATAGATGATGGACCATCTGCTGTCTAAATTTTCACCCAGGTGTAAGAAAAAATTAATCAAGCCATTCTGTTTTACCCATAAAAAAAATTTAACTGATTTAAATATTTACCATATTTGACCAAATTAAATTATTTGTATCAAAAATTTTTATCTATAAAATAAACATATATCCATATATTATTAATTATTTTTTAAACAGCTTATATAATGAATATTTTCTATCTATGTACATAAAAATAAATGCATACTTTATAGATGTCAGCTTCATAAATACTTGTACCTATAATATCACTTGTTTCTATTCCACCAATAATTACTATTCTACCATCAGTTAATAAAGTTGAAGTATGATCAAAAGTTGGTAATGGTGGATTATTAGCCATGACTTGATGCCAAGTCGAGTCAATTGTATGAAAAGTGTGCATATCATTAAAATATCGAACAGAAGTAGATCCAGTATAATGATCAGCTATTCCACCAAAAATACAGAAACTTCCTTCATCATCCATTATAACGCTACTTCCTCTACGATTGGCGGGAGCAATACCGAGTGTGTTTGGAGTACTCCAAGTTTTTGTAGTTAAATCATATGTATGAAACAAACTAAGGAAATTCTGTTTTTGAGAAATTGGATTTACCATCATTCCACCAAATATAAAAATTGTTGAATTATTTGGTCCACCAACTGCACCTACAGTGAAAGCAGTTCCTACAGGAATGTCTTTGTCATCTACCCATGGCACATTGTTAACATCAAACTCCTTAGTTAAATCCACATAAAATAATGAATTCGTTACAGTTACTAATGTTTGTTCTATATTTATACCTCCAACAATGTAAAGTTTATTATCAGTCACTACACTAGTAGTTGCATAACGTCCCACATCAGGAATTGAAAACACATTAGTATTAATAAATAACAAAATTATTAAATAAATTTTGTTATTTTTGAAGGTTAAATTCATTATTATTTTTATCAGTTAATTTTATTTGTGCCTACTATTTTTTTGTAAAGGTTGCTACTCTTGACATTCCATTTGAGTATATTTCTGATTACTTATTCATAAAGAGTTTTACAATCGAGAAGGCATTATATTGATTTTAAAGTATTAGAAACTATGAAGCTCTGGCAGTATTAAATAACCTGTGATTTACAAGCAAATTTGCACCCACGACCATAAATTTTTTAGCCAATTAGGTGAAATACAATGAAAAGCTTTCATTTCTATTGGTACAAGTTCAATGTCGTCAATAGCATTCGTTTTTTATTCATTCGGTATATAATTACCTTATTTTTATTCCAGTGTATTCCTGCAAGAGAGATATCAGTCAGCAAAAAAAAATATTCAATTAATGAATCGAATAAAAGAGATTCAAAGAACCACTTTTTCTAAAAAGTAAATAAAGGTAAAATTTTTCTAATTATTATAAGATTATTGTAAAAGTGATAACAATCAAGATAAATTTTAATATTTCACCGAATAGATGGATAATTTTGATTTTCAGAACTCTTGGCACGTTTTTGACAAAGGTGAAAATACATTCTGTTCAAGTATATGATTAGAAAGCTTTATTTTTAATGGAAAGTCTTGTACAATAATAATAAGCTTATATATTTGACGGTAATACATTTTCGTCATGTAACATCTCGTCAGTTGACTAAATTTCGTCAGGTATCTTTATTCCATATTGATTTGCTAATACTCTACGGTTTTTTGGATGAAAATGATTGTTGTGGAGATAATTTTAATAAAAAAAATTTTTAATTATATAAATTTCGGTTATATAGTAGTGACGTTAGCCGATAGAAAAACCTTAGCGGCTAAGAACTTAAATAAATCCCAATTGATAAAAAAACTTTCAGATGGTACTAAACTTTCCAGTATTATTATTACTACTATTATCGTTATTGTTACTATAATTATTATTACTATTACTTACTATTGCTATTATAATATCCCGCCTTTAATGGTTCGAATAAGGTTTATTTGAATTATTTGTTTCATTCGTTATGAATTTGAGTATCCGAATTACAATGAAAGTTTATTCGAATAGAACGAATAAACGAATAGGACGAATAATTTGAATAAAACGAATAATTCAAAAAAACGCGATTATATTTCCAAACATTCAATTAATAATAGCTTATCAGAGAGTTTTTTCATTTATATTATATAGTAAAAAATTTTTTGTGGACAATTCGAATACGGTGCAGATCATCTATAATCATTAATTGCTTATAGTAACAATTGGTCAACTTCAAAATACTAAAACAAAAA